CCTCTCCAACCTCGAAAACCGTCCAAAAAAGACGGTACACATCACGAATTCTCAGGAAGAAACACAGAGGAATCGGAGAAGCAAGGGCCGCCAAGGATAGCCTAGCATCTTCCCTCATCCATCCCGACCCTCCTCATTTACTTCACCACCATCATTCAACCCCATCATTCCGCCCGCTTGTCTCTTATCCTCCCTCACCCACACTCACGGTCACACACACACACACACACACACACACACATCCCCGCTCCTCCCCTCCATTTCTCCCTCATCGCCCTTCTTCCCTCCCTCACCCAGTCCCGCATGTAGGCGCCCATACGGGATCCTGGGCAGCAACACCACGATATGTCATTCGGACGCGTCTGACGAGTGGAAATTTGCGCGAGGTAGGAGAGAGGGAGTGATGGGAGAGGAGGATGTGGATATGGTTCTCCGGTATGGATTGATGAAACGATTGACGAGTAGGATCGGTGGGTATGGTGAACAGGGATAGGGTATGAGGATACGAAGACAAAACAGGGGACGAAGGACAAAATGCAGACAATTGACAAAACTAGGGATGAGAGACAGAAAGCAGACAATTGACAAAACTGGGGATGAGAGACAAAACGAGAGGTGAAAGATAGAAGATAGAACAGAGAACAATAAACTGCCATTTGAACTGAGACACTTGAGTCCAGAAAGTCACAAACTCTGATAAATAAGAAACCATGTCAGTGATACACAACCTCTACCCCTCCTCAGACCCACAGCATCTCCCACCACTCACTCCCCCCTCCCCTCCCCCTCCAGCAGAATCTCATGCCCATCCCCCTCCCTCACCCCCTGCGCAACCACCCACCCAACAACTGCCACACCGCCCATACACCACCACGCCAACCCCACAACACCCTTATCCAAACCCCTTCCAAACAGCCAACTAAACAGCACCGGCCCGACCGTCCTCGTCGCACTAGAAACCGACTGCCCAATCCCATGCACTGTCCCCAGCACTGACGGATGCGGACTTGCATTATTAATCAAAATCGCCGTACAAGGCAGAGCAAAAGTCCTCGCCAACACCTGAATAAACAATACACCTGTAATCGCCATCCAAACCCACGGTCCGGAAACGCCCTCTGGCGGCGGGGTGGTACTAGGTACCAGACTGAGAAAGGGAGTGATGGTGTACATGACTGGGAACAGCGCGAGGAAGATGCGGTAACAGGATGTTGTGCCGAGACGGTGGGAGAGGCGGGGGTACACGAGGAGTTGGAGTGGGATACCTATTACACCGATGATAGCGAGGGCGAGACCGATGCGTGACGGTGGCATACCGAGACCGCCGGTGAAGAAAATTCCATGTGGGATGAAACCAGTGGGATGAGGGTGTTCTAGGTCGTAACGCGGGGTAGATAGGTGTAGGTTCCAAAGGCCGTTGAAGGTACCGACATGCATTGCGAGGACGCCGTGGGCGAGGAGCGTGGTGCTTAGGTTGGCGGTCCAGATACGTCGGAAAGGAAGTTTTTGTCGGAAGACTGGCTTTTTGGGGTTTTCTAGATAGACGGCGCTGTCTGGGCGGTGCAGTTCGACGTCGGAGTTGGGCACGGCGGTATAGCCGGAAGCGCGGGATGCGGGGTAGCAGAGGAGGGTTCGGATGAGCCAGTGGCCGAAGCGGAGGCACGGGTCTGGTTTGTGTTTGCAGAGGTCGCTTGTTTCCTCTAGGAAGAAGAGGACGGCGAAGGAGGAGAGGAAGAGGAATATAGCGCTGATTAGATTGGGGAGAGCGTAAGGGTACGTTTTCATCCAGTATACACCATCTTTCCCGCCGAAGGTAGAGTTTGGACCGAAGAGAGATGGATAGCTAGCTATAGGGTCGGCGAGTACACCACCTGTGGTAATCAGCCTGAGAGCGCATACCTTGTAGGATAGTTCAACTCACCCAATACCGGCCCAACAATAACCCCAATATTGAAAATCATCGGCAAAATCAAAAATGCCCGACTCTGAAACTTCTTCTCCTTGATAATCTCACTAATCATCGTCCGCATAACCCCAACATTGCCATTCAATATACCACCTAGACACCGGAAAGTAACAGCCATGGCAAAACTATGCGAAAACCCAAAACCAATGATACTAAGCATCGTGCCTAGTAAACCCAGGTAAATTGACCGTTTCCGTCCTCCATACTCTGAATCGGAAAACCGCCCCCACATCATCGCTGTCACGAATTGCGTTGCTGGAAACGCCGCGCCAATGATTCCCGCCTGGTACGAAATGGTTGACTCGGGAAGTGAGGGGTCGAAGGACTGGAGTTGATAGTAGAGGTACGATCCTAGCGATGTCTGGGTGAGAGGTTCCGATAGACGTGCAAGCATCAGGACGAAGAGTTGGTCTTTCCGTGGTAACGAACTCCAGGATACTGGCTGGTCCGCAGCTTTCGTCTGCTCGGTGTCGTCGACATGTGGGAACCCTGTGCCAGCTTCGGTGTCCGTGGTGATGTGTAGGTCGCGTGACTCTCGCCGTGGCTTGCCACCTCGAAACAGATCCTCCTCGTCACTTGCATACGATGACAACGAAGACGTAGAACCTTTGTCATCTCCTACAAGGCGCGCCGTCTCTTCGTGATAAGGAAAATCCACATATCGTGCGTTATTCTCGGTTGACATGAACTCCTCACGTTCTGGCCGAGATCCAGTATCACGGGTCCCATGATTCGACTTCATCAGTCCAGCCCGTCCAGTACGTGTACCAGCAACAACAAGTTATCAAAGACAATTCTCACCAAAAAAACCACTCACAAACCTTTCAATTCAATCAACAGAATAGAGACGGTAAAGAAGAACGAAACAGAAAAAGATCAAGTCCGCCACGCCACGCCATGGCGAACTATCCACTATCCACTATCCACGCCTGCAAGGCTATCACAGAAACCCACTTTTTTACATCTTGCATACCCAGTCGCGCTCCTGGCTGGCGCAAAGAAATCTACCACAATAGAGCGGCCTAGCCATCTCAGACATCGGGTCGTCGCGAAAGCAGACGTCGGGGTTTATTATTGCGCGGTTGCCACTTGGCGGGGTAAATATACCGGTACCGACTTATGTAAGCGTCTTGATACACGATGTTGCCGGTGTCCGCGGGATGCGCGAGTGGGAAAGATGGGAAACAGCGTGATCTTCAATCTTTCTTTGCATGGTATCATGACGAGTATTGCAATACTAAGATAGATATAATTCACTATATTGAAAGTATTGAGTTAACAGATTGACAAAGTAGTTTGAGTACTGCAACTATTCATGTACATCACAATCATGTAGTTGTCGGTCGATAGAACTTGTGGAATGTGAATTGTTAGGTTTCGATATGATACCATCTAGGATAGACACAACCTGACTTTACAGTATACTCCCCTATCATAGCCCTTCCACACATTCTACAACTTCCCCTCACCCTCACCCTTATCCTCCGCACTAAAATTAATACTAACACTATTAACACAATGCCTCTCATCCTTTGGATTTCCAAACCTCTCTCCCTTAAAAATATGTCCCAAATGGCCCCCGCAGTTATTACACACAATCTCCGTCCTCATCATGCCGAGTCCCGGATCCGGTTTCTGTCCCACAGCACCGGGAATGGCGTCCCAAAAGGCAGGCCACCCGCATCCAGAGTCGAACTTGTGGTTGGCTTTGTAGAGGGGCGCGTCGCATGCGCCGCAGTTGTATACGCCGGCTGTGGGGTAGTGTTTGTTGTATTTTCCTGAGCCAGGCATTTCGGTGCCTTTTTGGCGGAGGATGCGGAATTGTTCTGTAAGGGTGTTAGAGGGCGCCCGATCTCACGATGGGGTGGGATTGGGGGTAAGATGGGCGTACCAGGACTCAATTGTGCCTGCCACTCGCCCTCGGGCTTCTTGACGGGGTAATCAGCGTTATCCGCCATGTTATTCGCACTGGATCCGAAAAGCGCGCCCAAGAAGGGGATGTTGGGCATCGATCGGTATACGACGGCGCGCTGGGGCGTGTTGTAGATTGTGCGGCCGAGGGTGCTGGCGGGATTTGAGCGGAGGAAGGCGCTGGTTGTGTTTGTGACTGTGTGGATGGCGCGTAGGAAGTTTGGAAAGGATGGGAAGCGCATGTGGAGGTTGTTGTTGTTGTTCTTTTTGTTGTAAGATTATGAGATTGATGATGAGGCGGAGGGGTGGCGCGGAAAGTCTCCGCCACCACATCGAGTCGGCGAGATTGAGAGTCCGATAATGGCGTCATGAGTATTGCGCGAGCATCAGTTCTTCCTTCATCCGCCTTTGGCATGCTATCATCGTCCGACGCATGTGTTGAGCATCGCAATGCTCTTCGAATTGATTATCCAGGTCGAGGTCGAGATACGGCGCCTGTAGTGGTGCTGGCGTTGTCTTGGGCCCTGGCGTTCATGTCCTGCCATAATCACTCCTGCCTCAGACATCACATCCTTTTTTCCATCTCACGAGTCTGCCATCGAGATCAGGCTCAACCCTACAGCTCTTGTAGTCGTCGTTACTGCGCCTCAAAGGTTGCATGCTGCGCCTAAACCATCTCAGCAGGCCACAAAAAATATACTAGTTACCCCAAAGCCTCAATGTCAACTAAAAGCGACCTAACTTTTATCAGAGATGTAACCCACTTCGGAGCTTGAATCGTATCATGAAAATCGTGTTAAAAGTATGCCTTCCAAAAGATAAAATTATTCAAGACTGGCGCCGTGTACCATGATGGCTCATAGTTTCCCTTTTGCCAAGAAAAACGAGTACAGCACAGGGCTAGGGCTATCGCTTTCTGCTAAGCAAAAAGCCTCAACGTCATCTAATGTTCTAATCAAAGTTATTCAATTGTTAAAACGTTAGTCCACAAACGGCCAACCAACATCCACGGCCTATGACTCTTAACCCAGCTCTATGCTAAGCAGAAAGATTTGTAGAAATGCTTAATCAACTTAAACACGGAATCACCTCCATATAGCCTGTCTAATCATCTCATCCCCATCACATGGCCCTCCTCCACAACCCCCAATCGCCTACTTCCCCACCACATCTTGAATCTCCACCCGCGGCACCAAATACGGCTTCACCTTCTCCCTCACGTTGGTCCTCTGCTCAAACGCATACGCAAACCCCACCAGACTCTCCTCACTCCACAGCTTCCCCGAAAAACTAATCCCAAACGGCACATTCGGCGCCGTAGCATTCAAATCTCCCCTTGCATTCTTCACAACCTGCGTGCCCTGTGGGTATGCCCCTAATGGCACCGTAACAACCGGCGCCCCGATAATTGCAGAGATGGAAGACGCAAGAAAAGCAGGCGTGACAACGGCGTCTAGGTTGTATTTCTCGAGCGCGCCGAGGATACCGCCGGGGCCGCCGAGATATTGGTTGTATTGGTATGCGGTCCAAAAGGCAGCGTCGGTGTTTGAGAAATTCTTGACTTGCGCGATGGAGGCGTCAAATTCTGCCGTGTCGCGGTCGGGATAGTCTTCTAGCGGGAAGGAATGGGTGAAGCGTTGGACGTCTTCGAGCGTGTGTATGTTGTTGGGGTTGGACGTGAGTTGGGAGAGGTAGTGGGCTAGGTTAGGGCCGAAGTCGCCGTGGAGGACGATGGTTTCTGCGTTGGATTGTGTCCATTCTTTATAGGCCGTGTAGTTTGTGTCTTCGACGACGGTGGCGCCGGCGGAACGGATTGTGTCTAGGGCGGCTTCGAAGGCGGCGTAGATGGCCGTCGTGGTGTTGTCGGGGGTGCCGATGTAGTTGCGTGGGACACCGATGCGTTTGCCCTTGAGAGCATCTAGCTTACATGCGGCAACATAGTTGGGCTTCTTTCCTAACTTTGCCCATGGGATGGCGAAGGTGTAGTTGTCGTAGCTGTCAGGTCCCGAGATGGCGTGGAGTATGTATGCTGCGTCCTTGACTGTACGAGCCATGGCTCCAACAGTGTCTTGGCGTTCTGAAATAGGAACCACGAGAGCTCTGCTAGTTAGACCAAGGGTTGGTTTAATACCTACAATGTTGTTCACTTGACTGGGGGAAATGATGGAGCCATCAGTCTCAGTACCAAGAGTTCCCCATGCAAGACCCAGACTAGCCGCAACTCCACTACCGCTGCTGCTTCCACTAGGATCCTGACCAGGGTAGTATGCGCCATAAGTCTGTCCACCATGAGCGGACCATCCATTTGAAGAGTTGGAAGAGCGGAAGTTGGCCCATTGAGAGAGATTGGACTTTCCGAGGATGACCGCACCCGCCTCTCGAAGCTTCGCTACGACAGTAGCATCACGTGGGACCTTGGCGCCGACTAGAGACCAGGATCCGACTGTATTGTTCATTTTATCCGCAGTGGCAATGTTGTTTTTGACCAGTACAGGAAGTCCGTGAAGAGGGCTAGGCTTGTTAGCATCAAAATAACCATGCTTGGCTGGCGTGACGAACCCTCGAATTTTCCCACTCGCACGCTCTTCATCCAAAGTTTTCGCGATTGACAAAGCATCAGGGTTGATTTCAATGACCATGTGCAGCGTTTGATTGACTTCCATAATACGTCCGATGTAAGCCTGAAAGTTATCAGCGGTTGAGTTCTGATATCACACCGCCAGAGTGAAAGTCATACCTTGACCAAATCCACGCTCGTAAAGTCTCCGGCATGAAGACCAGCAACCAAATCATCCGCAGTAGCATCGAGAAGTAACGGAAACTTGGTTTGGGGGTGCGCATACACGCTCACTAAGGGCACAAAAGCCGCAAAGACCTTTGTCAAGAACCACGCTGAAACCATGGTGTCCAAGATGTTTCTACTGGTTGGCAAAAGAAGGATGAGGGAAAGGCGTGGAGATTTGTCGTGTTCGTGATATCTTACCTGCTATATATACGGTTTATGCTGACCCGAGGAGTACTGCCGTGGTTTAGCCATGCTAGACAAGGATCAGACTGCATGCGCGCGTCCTCCCCACGGCACGGAATCAGTACATACTGCATTTAAAGTACCTATACTTGTATCGATCGGCATGATAAGAGTTGCAGAGCTGTTGTGGAAGGTTTTGGCAAGCCTCGATGTTGCGTTTGCATGCAGGTACTGCTCATTCAAGAGCAGGCTTGTCACACCCTGGTACCTGATCAGCATGGTACACATCGACCATCCGTGATACCCGCCTGATCTGTGCACAACAAACAAATTGCTGTCAAGTGAGAATCCTCTCCTGAATTTTGGATAGACGTTGTACTATACCTAGGATACAAGACTGTTTCTGAGGTGATAGATGCATATGTTGCAGATCTTGATCAAAACAGGAAGGTGCGGAAGAGAGCAAATGGTGGGATTAACTAGGATACGTCCGCGGACACCAACCTGAAACGGATAGCTTACGCATAGCTATCGATATGCTCAGCATACATTTTCCATGATGTAAAGACGTAATTCAAGTTTGTTGTAACTTCTATCCACCTTCCTCATGTAGCCAGCCTGCATCGTGATAGCGTAATGGTAATCGATTCTATGCTGCTGGGAAAGGGGTGCGTTTCGGCAGCCTTCTTCAGTCGAAGTAACCGGGGAATAGCCATTGAAGCCTCTTCTCAGCCTCCTTCCCTCTTGCCTCCTTTTTAGTCATGGCACCTGCAAACCTCATTTGGCCGTCGAGGTGCTTTGCGAGAACCTGCTTTTCATGCTCCTCCTTGCTTAGCTCGTTGAGAACAGCGCCTACGAAACGTCTAGCATTATCCGCGTTCGCTTTCATGTGTGCCATGACCATTTCCACGTTAACGTCCTCCTCGCCATTTCCGCGCCAGCAGTCGTAGTCTGTGGCCATGCATATCATTTGGTATGCAATCTCAGCCTCTCGCGCAAGCTTGGCCTCGGGCAGAGCAGACATGTTGATGACGCTGCCGCCCCACGAACGGTAGAGGTTGGACTCGGCGCGTGTGCTGAATTGCGGGCCCTCCATGCAGATGAGCAATCCATTGTCGTGTAGCTTAACGCCGTCTCCCTCCAAGGCATGTCCGCACTGCCTGACGATCGCGGCCAGCTTCTTGTCGAAGGGGTCGCCAAAGCCCACATGCCCGACCATGCCTCCTTCGAAGAATGTGAATGGCCTGATGCCCTTTGTGCGGTCGATGATCTGATCGGGTACTACAAAGTCGCGCGGTTGGATTTCTTCTTGCAGCGAACCGACGGCAGAGAAGGCAATGATGGTGCGCACACCGATGTGTCGTAGCGCAGCCATGTTGGCCTGGTTCTTGACCTCATGCGGCGCAAGCTCATGGGAGAGGCCATGTCGCGACAGGAAGGCGATGGGAATCGGTTTCCCGGTGGTTGGCGAGGGGTGTTGCAGGATGCTAATTGGCGATGATGGCTTTCCCCATGGCGTGTCAACATCGAGTGTCGCCGCGAGGGTAAAGCCTGGAAGCGACGAAATGCCAGTACCGCCTATAACGGCGATGTGAACGGGCGCTGCACGAAGGGTAAGCGATTGACGCGACGATCAAGTGGAAGGCGCGCACCATCGTAGGTGCTTGGAACCCCAGCCATCTTTCGATATGGGATTGAGATACGTCTACAGAAACTACGAGGAATAAACACAGGTGAGAAAGTGCTAGGAAGAAGTTTAACGAGCGTAAGCATTCACGGAGGGGCAATAAGTCGCGATAACATTTTTGTCCCATGGCGGGGTAGGTTGCCCGTTCGCCTTGATATCTCAACCAATGAGAGCCAGCCTGGAAGCACGCTAGTCTGCTTGGTTTCGCGCGAGTTGTTGATCGCGGTATAGATAAGATGGTTAACCCTGAGGTTTTCGATGACATTAAATTCCTGCTGGCTTGTATCTGCCATGTGCAGTTCATCAGGTGTCATTAGATACTCAATATACCAGTGTAAAAAGGCCACTGTAGTCGCCAAACACCCGCTTACCCACACTGTCAAGTAATCTATGTCACCCATGTGCCGCATTATCTTGGGGGTTGCTGGATACAGTAATCCGTGGCTTGATGAGCTGAGAAGTGGAATTGTAGCTAGAAGGGTTGATGTTCTACACGTTGAGAAGTGAGGCGGCCTGGTATTACTCCACTGCAACCAAAGTTCTACCTCAACACAATTCCCTCAGAGAAAGAGTATAGCCTGCATGCTCATTCTGGGTTCAGTTCGGGCTGGAAATAGACTCAGTGGTAGTAGTAGTAGAAACACGTTGGGGAGTGTAGAAGCACCTGATACGTATGTTTGGCAACTACAGTGGCATTTGTACACTAGTATGTAAAGTATTTTATGCCACCCAAGAGGAACATGATAACTCCATACATGCCTAAGTCCGCTGCGATTCCATTCTTATTAGTTAGAGCGGGTTCGTCCACTGGGGTAGCTCACTCCATTTCGTTTCAAAGTCTTCAATGGCCATTAGCAAAAATTAAAGTACTCATCCGATAGTAGTTGTCTCTTAGCTCTTTCCTCCACTACATTTTCTCTGTCCCAGTAATTTTCGGGAAAGTGCTTGGCCTTCCATGGCTCGTGGTCGTACGAGTAAAGTTTGGTCAGAGGATCATGGGTTGTACGGTAGTACCCACGCTCGACTTCCTTGTCATGTCGCAGATCTCACATGGTAGCTTGGCTATAACCTGCTGCGTGAAGTCGATGGATTTCGATTGATCAACTTGTTTGATGACTGTTTGCGTGCTTCGTTTGATGCTTTCAAACCTGAACTGCAGAGCCGCAAGTTCTTTCTGTAGGACATCAATGCGGCCTTTTCAGACGCTCTCCGCACAAATTAGCCTAGACATTGTACGTTAGTCCTAGTGGCTGCGGAACTGATCGGAGCTCGGCGTACCTTGAAGTACATGTCTGAAGTAGGATGCAGCCGCCATCAGCGCTAGGATTTTCTGAACGTATGGGCATGACAGACTCTAGACTCGTAGTCGCAGAATTTGTAGGTTTGAGCTTTTCTGATACTCTTAGCCAATAGTGTCATGTCGCATATGATTGAACGTCCAAGCACATGAAGTTCGATGCAAGTCACTAGAACAATTTTTAGTATCTGGAAATACGGGTCTTGAAAAAGGAAGAAAGATGACATTTAAGCTAGAATGCAGCAAGGTGCTGCTAGTCGGCTATGTACCTAGATACTCACGCCGTGTGTGTGACAATGCCGTGTTCTTAAGTATTCAAGCCCAGCCTCAGCTACGGAACTAGCTTACATGTGAAGAATCGCTTGTAAAAGATGAATGAAAAGAGGCATAATGTCGCTTTTGGTCGTGAAGATGAAAGAAAAGGTGTGTGAAAATATCAGGAAAGAAGGAAAGCTCCATGCACCGCATTGAACTTTCAATCGTTTTATCCCAGTAAACAATCGAAAATCAGGTCTGTAGAGTTTGAAAGCTCTAAATTCCAATACTTGAGTCCTCGTAGTACCATAATGTTGACCTTAGATGATACCCGCGTCACTACGATCTGAAATATCGAAATTATCGGAACCCTCTCGGTCGATCTCATACTGTAGTACTTTCAACTCTTCGTTGCTGGTATGCTGCTATCATTAGCGAAACTAGAACGAATGGAGGCGGCGCTCACGAACCTCTGAGATAGCTTTCTTGAAAGCTTCAAACGAAACTGGGTTCCACTGCGAAACGAACGGGGCCCAGTCACTATATGGCCCTTCTGGGTAATTTTCAAGAACAGCCCGAACCCTGCATCCAGAATCTTTGAGCCTTCTCAGTACAGGGAAAATCAACTTTATGGGGTTCTCGCACATCCACTCCTGTTCTGTCAGAGTAGAGGGGACCTTTTCCTCTGGGACCGAATTAACCACTATGGTAATATCCGTGCCCGGTCTGAAACCAAACAAGAACTCCAGTTTTACTAGGAGCTTGGCCTTGGCCTGAGTCAATTCCTTTCCACGCAACTCCTTGTATTCTTCGATGATGTCACCCCAGTTGTGTGTAACAATAAGTTCAGTGTAGTATTGTTTACACTTGATTTCGATTCCGACTTTTGAGACGAGCAGAACGGGTGTAAAGGCTAGATTCCATTGATCTGTCGCACGAAATCGGGGTATTATGTCGAATGTGCCTCCAAACTGGAAGTAAGAAGAGCGGTAGTAGTTCTCGCCAATCTCTCGGACCATGTCGGCGCCTACAAAGTCCGGATCCCACCAGTGGTCTTTCTCGTGTGTCCCATTGGGCTTCCGTAACTGTGTTTCTGATTGTGTGCGGAAATATGATTCTTCGATAATCTCTGGATTTCCCCATTTCGGCCAGTCTGGCATGTCCGCATCATCACGGCAGGTGATATGGCCGTAGATGATATCTCGGATCTCGCGTGGAAACGCCTTCTGGACGTTGTCGCAAAGCTCCAGGCATTTTTTCTTTGCATACGACAGGAAGGTGTTGGTAGCATCGTCCTCGCTAAGTCTCGATTTTGCCTTGATAAGCTTTCCCTTTAGTCGTAGCTTCTTGATCTGAGCCTCTAGCGCTTCCAATCGTACTCCGATCTTGCGTCCTTCCCGTGTTATGCTGTGTTCTTTGTTAGCAGAGGTTTGGCACATTTGGCCTAGCTAGTAGACTTACTTGACACACTTGTCATGCAGACGCTCCTGTTCGGTCTTGGCCGCCGTTGAGTTTGTCATAGCTGCAACTACCGTTGCTGTCGGTGCCGATGGTGTTGCTACCGTTTCCGTTGCCGTGGTTGCCGTTACGCGCTGTGCAGCTTCGATGGGGTAGAGTAGAAGATTCAGGGTCCCAGAGGTGCAGGAAGGAGCGGAATTAAGGCTTCCACACTAGTGCTGCGCTCAGCGGCCGAGAAGCGGGGCGGACAGGTGAGAGAAGACGGCCAGATGAGCGGCTCTAGTTCAGACCCGTCGTTTGCAGATGAAGGCGCGCAACCTCTTGTGTCGCAAAGAAAACGCGGCTCACTGAAATTGACACGGTAAGAGAGAGAAGCACGAATCATTCGAGCAAAGTGATGTATTGCTACAGATCTGTCTATTAGACACGCCCTCATATTTGCCTTGTCAGTAGTATTGTAGAGAAGAGCACTATGATTTGCCATCCTGCTCGTGTCCAATACCCATACTTCTAGCGGCAATCCTCGAGATAGCATGCTACTTGGGCGTGTTTATGATTGATGTCCTCCAAGAACCTCATCAACGAGTCGCCTTCTGCAGGTCATCATGTTATTTTCAATCTTCCACTCTAGTGGCATGAATATTTGGAATACTAATTTACAAAGGCCAATCTAGTCGCCAGACACACCTGTTAGGTGTTTACCCACATCGCCACCCATGTGCTCTAAATTTCTCAGGTGTAGTGAGATTAGTACCTTGTAGGCCTTATAGTATTAATCTCCACCTCCCAGCCCATAAAGCCATGTACTACACCATCCAGACGCTCCAGAAAGCGTCCGATATGTCAGGATCTTGCTTCGGCACTTGCTTCACTTGATGACCGGTCTTTTTTGAGAACATCGATTCGCAGTCTGACCGATCTTGATAGCGGTGGAAGGGAAGCAAGATCCTGCAGAGCTTCGTCCGTCAAGTCTCACATATAACACTTCACTTTGGTGACCAAGTTAATTGTGTTGCATCCTATGGCAAAGTGGTCGCTCCCCAGAAAGTTTTTGATAATTTCCGTGTCGTAAAACTCGAATTCCGAGACCTTGATCCAGTGCTCCCTAATCTCTTGTCCTACTGCAATACCCGTGTATTGTTCTTTCCATATGTGTAGCACGTGGTTACTCCACCAGAGTCTCACATAGGGAGAACGTCTGCACCTAATGCTGATATCGTAGACCGTAATTGATTCTGAGTTATGTTTTGACTCGACCTTCGCTCTGTCGTCTCCGATAAGACAATTGTACACAATATCTCGAATTTCGCGTGGGAGACGCCGATGCAAGTATTCGCATAGTTGCCGACACTCCTGGCCTTCTTGTATCAGGCTATCCAATACAACAAGTTCACGCACGTTTCTCCACCTTCGTCAAACCCTCCACGACACCCATGACCTCCATAGATGTGTGACGTAGAAGACCGTGCATTTTCATAGAACAAGTCTTTGTGACTTTATCGTTACAGTAATTCCACAAGCCTGCAACCCCGCACCTCAAAGTGAAGAATCTGAGTGGAACTTCTAATAGACTTCGGGAGGCTTTCAAGGTTATGATGCACAAAAGCAGAAACATCGCAGCCTTGGAAAGGTTAAGCCGGCTCATGACGCATTCTAAACGCATCTGAGGTAATCTCTACCCAATTTTCGATATCCAAACTACTTTTCTTCTAACCTAACCCCGTTTCATATCGATTACGGGCCGCAACAGCAGAAATAGGCTGGCTGACTTTGAATATTTTAATATAAAATGACCAATCTTTGTAAACAGTGAGTATCCTTGCCCTTGATGACATTCACCGTGTCCAAAATAGGCTTGGTATACACTTGAGCGCTTTAGAGCACTCAATCCAACTGATTAAATTTGAATTGTAGCAAAGAAGCGCGGCAGAAAGAGGAGGAGAGTAGAAATAAAGGTGCAGGGCGCGAGGACTAGCATCGATAGCGTGGTTGCCCCACCCTACCTAGGTAGCCCATCCTGTGTCCTCATGCATCTTGTAAGTCTACGTAATCTCAAAAGTCACTGCATGGGACCGTCAACATATGTGCATTGTAATATCTGTAAGCAAAGCATGAGCGTTGCGTTATTCTGGCGGGGGCAACAACCTATCTAGGTACCACAAGAATGATTTCTACGATACACGAATACCTAGATATTCTTTAGTCAAAGCCGTTGCAATGCTACGAGTAGTCCATTGTTTCTATACGGAGTCCTCTTTTGATAGTGATAGACATGACTGAATCGATGTAGACTTTACTGGTAAGCCGACGTCGGGAGAACTCAGCTAAGATGTGATCAGAATCCGGAATGAACCTCCGTGCCGTCGAAGGGACAAGGAAGAAGCTCGCAAATTTCGACAGCTGAGTCTTTTGGAGCAGGGTATCTACGTTTATATTCGAAAGTATGCGAGAAGAATGTGTCTTTCACTATGGGAAAGCTTGTGTGAATTCCTACTTCTGTGGAGTGCGAGACATTATCTGCGTGCACCTACGCACCATCGAAACAATTCACGTGGGCCCAAATTACCTCGATCGAGTGGCTGCGCCTCACGATTCCGAACTAATTGCGGACTATCACAATTCAACCTACGTTCGGGATCGCATGCGGATCAAGATGGTAGAAATTTGTTATCGAAATACGGTCTTCGATTTATACACATTGTGCGGAATACCAACGCAGCTGAACGGTTCCTGATCACCGAAAGACAGGCTCTCGATTTTAAGCCTCCAGATCCTATCTGCCATGTTCGATTTGAGCTGAGCACTGGCGAGCGGCAAACTAAGAATACTGGGACATGGCAGAAGTCGGCAGTATCCTCGTGAAACCGATCGATAACCTGCACTGGCTCCCTGACCACGTGCAATTCTCCATTCTTGTTCACGCTCATGGCGCACTAGCACCTGGCCGTTTGCGTGACGAGGAGCTCCTGAAGACGGTAGAGGTTCTAGTCGGGAAGCTGGAAGATCCGAGTGCTGCTGGACACCGACTCATTCTTTGTTAGCCTGAACTGAAGGATATCAAAGTCTCTTGGAGAAGTGAATGCTTCTCAAAAGAATGTTGGATTGAGAAACTCGAAGCACATGCTAGTCGTTTTCTGAGTCGGAGTGCACATAGAGAAAACAAAGAATGGATCGGCACTCATGGTGATGATTTGAAATCCATATGTGCTATTGGGTGTTTCGCGTACACAGCTACTGGCAATGCGACCGTTGGAGGAGCTAGCATTTGTCAGCATTGTTTGTGCAGACAATCTCCTCTTCCACGCCCGCTACCTAAGTGCACAACACCCATCTTGTCCTGTATTGAATCTTGAGTGTAGATCGAGCTTTTTGGAGAGCGCAAGTGGTAAGTTTCTGCAATCCCACGCTGTTCTGTTTGTACTAAGACGCAGTAGCTTACATTCCTGGAGTGCCTAGATGCCGGAATCACGCAAGATTGCAGAGACCATGGACGATGAGAACGAGCTCTTATGTCGCAAACTCCGTCTAGAGTCGTGATTCTTCCTCCATCATAAAGCCTGTTCTGCCTAACTGTGTACTCAAGGGCCTGTAAGAAGTCAGTCATAGCCACCCGCCGGCTCCGATCCGCAAAGCGTGGCGGACCAGAGCAAAACAAGAGCTTCTACAAATTGAAAGCAGGAGAACTGGAAGATGTCAACACCGCCCACGATGTGCTTCGAGAGTACGCCAAACTCGTTTCTGGCCGAGTCGATAGAATACTACGCGAACGACTCTCGCGAGAGATTCGCGACATGATCTACGACCACATTCTACCTCATGGCGAAATAGTGGTAGGCCGTATGCACTGTGGTGCTATTGCTCTCCGTGAACAAGTTTCGAATGAATGGGTCAACATACGCCAGTACCAGTTCCTGGGCGACGACATCGTATCGGAGCTCGCCGTCTGCCTGTATAGAACTCGGACGTTTACTCTTGACAAGTCTTCAGAGGCCAACATGTCGACAGACTCTGACATAATGACAGATTTTCTCGCGGCAGACGTTTACAGCACGAAAATCTCACCTGCAAAGTTCATATCGAGGGTGTTTGTTTCCATCGGCCCATACTGCTTCCGTCCTTTGGAAGAGTATGAACGTGCCGCAAGTAGTGCGTTTCGATTGTTTCGAGATGCCACAGAGCATCGTGGAATGAACTCACGCAGTCAGCTTTTGGCGTCTCTAGGAGCCCTGAAGGTGTTGCAGCACCCTCACTGCGCCCTCACTGTCGATTTGAAAGCCACGTTGGATCTAGAGGATATCCAATTTAGCACGCCCGTGGCTCTGCGCAAAGTATGCTCGCATCTGGGTGGACTCATATCGAGTGGTTGGAAGATACAGATGAGTCTCGTAGACTATTGCCCATATCAACCATACGAGAGGGGTTTCGGAATTGCACCGCGCCGTCTTGTAGAGATGTACCCATCTGTAACAATACCTTTACCGCCAGAGAAAGGTAATTTCGTTGTCCTTACCGAAAAGGATGCATACACGACTGTTCGCACAACAGAAGAAATGGTTGAGCTGCTCGAAGTAAGTACTAATAAGACAAATCAAAATCGTATTTCTAACCACAGTAGGCCGCTAATATACACCCGATCACCGCATCCCGAGAGTGCGCATACTGGAAGCTATGGCTCCAAAGCCTCCGCCCCAAGGAAGAGATAGACCAGGATGGTGGATTGGATACAAGGAACGATGTTCCAGCATGGGAGATAGTGAAGGCGAGGTTGGAAGACGCGATGCTGCAAGTCTGGCAACCTTAAGGTTCTGCAGCTGCAGCCCAGTGTACAAAAGCGTTACTTGTTAAATCCGGAGCTGAACTCCGGAAGATCGAAGATAGGAGCAGCGACGGGGATACCAGTTTGGGCATTACTTGGAAGGTTTATGGGTGATTGGGGAGTGTGGCAAAGACTAGCGACAAGTGTCGTGTCAAGTTCTGAGAGGCGTCAGATCGTTCTATGAGAGGAACAGCATTTCTCAGCAAGGAATACAGCGAATGGCTGCGATGAAGCAGCAATGGCATGTAATTTTACCCCAGTTCTTAGAGAGGTACGCTGTCGGCATCGGCCGTGAGCGGTTACTGCTGCGTACAGGCGATGGGCAACCATTGACAACGGGTGCCTCACCATCAAGGTCCTTAACAAGGCTGATCAATAATTCAGCAGCCGTCTTACATTTTGCCGAGTGCCCCTTTTGATCACACGTTTTCACTTATTTACGACATAAATTTCAGAATTCAGAGGGAATGATCAATATCTATGCTTAGGGTTTCGCAGAGGGACAGCAGGCTTCAGGTGTCAAGATCTGGTCAAGTTATAAGCAGGAGAGAGTTATATTAAAATGAGGGTTGTAAGATAACAGCAAGGAAATCCATGTAAAGCTCCTTCGATTTCCGAATCTCATTCGGATACCGGCAACGTAAGACCTTTGAGGCGATCAGCTGCTCTAGTGATACAGCCTAACAACTAGCGTGTAAAGACAAGCTCACCAAAACATATCCGTCCCAAAAAAGTCCACACCATCCATGCCTCAACGCCAGAGCAAACCAATAACGAATGCACACTCGAGACATTGAACGATAGACCCGTGCGCAAGAGAAGAGAAATGACGCAAGGAAAATCACATGTCAATAGCTAAGCTACCCATACGTAACGTTGGCGAATGTCAACCCTAAACATGTGTCAGCCACAGCCACTAAACCCCTAACCATCATAATTCTCCACCCCCTGCGCCTCACACTAGATATCGGAACAAGCCGACCTCCAGCGTTCGAGCAAGCAGATAGACTCCAGACAAATGAAAAATCGTGAGTGTGACATGAAAAGACAGAGAAAATAGACTACCAAAATTCCATAACAACGTACAAGCGAATGATGCTACCGATGAGAAACGCCCAACTTCCCACCATTGCAGAGATTCCCGCCTTAATACCCCCAATCCCATTTTCTCCCTGAAACAGGAAGAACCCCGCCATCATGAAGCCTGCGCCACCCACGGCGTTGAGGAAAGCGCCCTGCCAATCTGCGTCTGAGAACTTGGGCTTGTACCACCTCTCCTGTTCGCAAAATGCGAGCATGAGGTTAGCAACGAGGAAAAGCAGGCCGTGAATGACCTGAGGACCGAAGACGATGAGGTCGCCGAAATCTGATTCGGGGACGAGACCGGGGAAGTCGACGATGCCTGCAAACATGAAGATGACACCGCCGAAGAGAACCATGAGACCGGCTTGAAAAGCAACGTTTGTGAGAGCGAGATCCTTAAACTTAGACCATGGCTGGATCCACTTGAACTCCGGGGAGCCGAGCAAGGCGGGGCGGAAGATGAGTTTGTCGGGGTTTGCTTTTGTAATTCCTAGGGTGGCGTTGTCGGCGTTGAGGGCGCCAAAGGTGTCGAAGATGCCGGCTACGAAGAAGAAGATTGAGCCAATTAGAACGGTGGTGGGCACGGCGATCATCTCATTCAATTCATTCTTGGGCTCCTCGGGTAGAAGACGTGGGAGGAGGTCGAAGAAGGCGTTGGCAACCAGGTCGATGGATCCTAGGAGGAAGATGACGGCGACGAGGTAGATAGGGTCGCGCACAGGGAAAACGGTGAACATTGTTCTCAATCGGACCCTGATTGATTTGTTTTCGTTCCAGTTGATGGGGCAAGCTTCAGCGTATGCTTGGCTGCTTTCGGCGAGCTTCTCGACGTCAAAGACTTGAGGTTCGGCATCGCGCTCTCGGTGGGTCTTTTCCAGATGTACAGCGTAATCAAGCTTCTCGAAGGACTCCAGCTTTTCGTCTGATGCTGGTCGGGGCTCGAGTGGGATTACCAGAGTGTCTGCAATGGATGTGGGAAAGTTTGTTTCATGAATGATGCTCATCCGCGCCTGGCGGATGTATGATGCTCGTATGGATGCTGAGGCGTTCATGTTCGGCAAGTTAATTAGATAATTACAGGTTAGGTATGAGTTTGTATAAGCGTAGATTGGCTGACCAGAAAAGTACAACGATAGGCAAAAGAGCGGAATGTCAGCGTGCGGACTGGACTGAGGTGCCGAACATGGTAGCTTTAAACCGGGACGCCCGTCGCTGCGCCACGGACGTGCGCTGTCATAGTGCTGCTATATAGTTCAAACGTGTAAGTCCAAGACTTCAACTGTCTGACAAAGAGGCTTAGTATTGCTTCCGACAAACCAGCTTTCACCATGAAGACACTTAAGCCTAGCCAAGCTTTATTTTGGGCATGTTTTGTTTCCTGATGCCTTGGGCGTGAGTAACTCGAGTGAGGCTCCGGAAGAAGCAAAGCCGCAACCACCATGATTTTAAGCTTCACAAGTTAGTCTCAGTTGGTTTCAGTATTTGATGGGGACGCGACAGCATGATGTGAAGACATAACGGTTGGTGATCTACCCCTAGGAAGGGCCTGCGTTCTCGGGAGGCGCCGTTCGGACCGACACCTCGAAACGCGCTTGAGGCATTAGCGTGATGTGTACCTGAGGATCACCTCAACATCTCAAAGCTACAGGCAACGAGTTACGTATGTACAATTGTGACTTCTGTAGTCTGTGTCGATCAGCGATAGCGATTGCGTGTTTTTCTGTAGATCAGTATGATGCGCGCGCGTCAAGACAAGAGGTTTCGAGATGCCGAGCAAGCGCAACACCATCTCGAGTCGAACTCTCCTGACCATACACGTGGCATACCTTGGCGGCTTTCGTCGGCGCGCTACTCACAAAAGCAACCCAACCCATCTCGTGTCAACTCGTTATTTCCGTACATCCCAGTGGTAAGCTGACGATACCCATCCAAAACCCTATGCTAAGGCCGGATCGACACGTAGGGAGTAAGATGCATTGTGAGAACACGAAATCCGCTGTCGTGGCTCCCGAGAGACGGCCGATCAAGAACCACGCACGGAGTGGTTGCACCCCGAAGAAGAATTAAATGCCGTAAACTGCCCCTGGAAGATGCGGTTATGGGAAGGGGGGACATGGTGGTGCTGTCGATACCTGAAGCGCCGGGCAATAGGGTGTCCGCGCTTTCATCTGAGCCTCAATTGCGCAAGGGGAAGGGTGTCCTCGCTCCTGTCGCGCCCGATAGCCCGACACGAGTCGGGTTGTAAGTTTATGAGGCACCCGACAGATCGGCAACAACAATTATTGATTATCGTACGCCCAGTTTGGAACATGATGGCGATCATCTCCGCAGATTCCGCGTTCGCCGAGTGACAGGCCGATAGACGTTCGCTGACAATCTGATACACCAACGTCAGCATGCTGTTGTTAGAGGATCCCTCATGATACGATACATTCCCTGGGTAAAATGGCAGAGTTACCATCCGCATATCGTCAGCATTGGCTCGACAAGTCCTGCAGCGTCCGCCAGTCCGCAACACGATGCACGGGCTCGAACGCTTGTCCACTCCAGCATGTTTCTTACACACGACCGACATATATCCTCAAGGAATGCGCTGACAGCATGCAGGGGCACATTCATGCTTCCACCCGCTCATAAGCAAAAATGTGGTCCAGTGCTTTTTGATCACACCTTCGCAATTCAAACTCGACTTCTCCGGGGGTAGTGAAACCTACATGGCTTCAACGTATCCGAAGTTAAAAAAGCAGTGACGATCTGGTGATGACCCGTTGGTATGGGGAAGTAACGGCTATCCGGAGGTATCCGGAGACGGCGATCGTATACGCCCCTTCAGTGTAGTGTTACAAGTGACTGCTTTAGGGACCACATGTCTCTCTTAGGGTGAAGGTCTTCGGTAGGAACCCTCTGAGGTTTCGAATGCTCGCCCGGAAGAATTCAGTCATTGTGATATTAACCAAGAGGCGCACACTCGCAACATTTCCGGTTCGCCATGCCGCTTGGTTCATCTTCTCATAGTCGAGTAAGGCATCGGAGATGAAGCAGTCCACGTGGTACAGTGGATAAGAGGGTTGAGGGTAAAAAGTCGCAATACCACGTTTACTGGAGGGTTCTCGTTCGTAAAGACTACTTCCAGATCTTCCGATGGGCGACAATGTTTGATCTGTATATCGCGTCGTCAGCTCCAAACTTGGCACAATCTCCCATCTCCGCATTGCTGCCTTGCACGAACAAGGTGTTGAAAGCCTAGGACTGATGTCATTTAACTGTTCGAATCGGTCGCGATTTCCCCAGCGGAGGTGCCGTCATGTTCTATACCCCAGAACGTGTTTGAATGAATGTCTAGGGCCGTGTGATCTCCTTCCTATTAGTGCTCGGCACTTCGTTCCTCATCCGCCGTACTCGTGGGGAGAATTAAGCTCAACCTTTAAAGTAGGGAATAATGGACACATTTACATTTGAAAACGAGGCAGACCTGGAGAACTACAAAGCCAAATGTAGCGAGTGCACCAGCTTGCAGCAGGATTGAACTGCACACTTCGATAAGAGATATGAGTGTGACAAGAACGGGTGAATGAGAGAAGAAGAGATGGCATACCTTTCACTGAAGTCGCTATGGGGCAGCGTGCTTTGATCTGTGCAGAATCCTTAGGCGGTTTTTGTCGTAGAGTTGCGATGGTTGGCCCCACGCTGCCGGGGCCGTGCACGCAGCTGGGTCAGATGCCCACCGCCTTCATCCAAGCGGGATCATCGCGTTAGTCTGCTGACGACGAAGCCTCGTCTTTGTCATTGCCACATCCTTGTCTTATGAGCCAGCCATTGAGCCCGCGATAACGACATTGGGTTGCTGTACATTAATGAGGCTGACAATCCTCATTGGAAGAAGCACTGGAATACTTCAACTTTGTTTTCGGGGTGGAGTCTGCATGCATTTTCAGAGCAGATAGTCTACGCCTGCCTACTAGAGTTTTACAAATGCTTAATACAAGCAAATGTCGCGGCAACCGAAACGCGCTGCTATCCATGTATACAGGTGCATTAGCTCTTCGGTGATAGTGTCTGTGAGCCAACGAGATTCCCCCGCCCAACGCCTGCGCCTCGATTATAGCTGCCTAATGTGGAACCTAAATGATGAGGCGCGGCAGCCGCTACATTCGGTGTTTGCATGCCCTCTTCGTTCTTTTCGCCACGTGAGTGCGATATCAAGCCCTGGAGGTCCAAAGACGTCCGTCTATCTTACATACACAATTTCTATCGTCCACACATTACACCTCTTCCTAACATTCAACATACCTCTGTTCATGTGTACTTACGGCATTACTTATGCTGAGCAGAGAGAATGCACGAAGCAACCAAAACATACAATAGAGACACGTCTACAAAAAAGATGCCAACTCTCGCCAAAGCCTGGCGCTGCGTGCGCAAGTCCGACGTATGATGCAGCATTAGATCAGCTTCCTTCAAGAAAGGGCGGGGCGTGCCCGGCATGCCGTGATTCGGGAATAGCAGTCGAAGTCTACCAGGTCAAATGGGTAAAGCTGCACGCACAGATCTTAAAGAGCTCACTAAGACTTTGTGAATTTAGGTCGATACGGTTCTATAGCGAGTGCGGCTTAGATACGATGGTTTCTCGATGGCTGTGAAAAGATACTGAGATCAGCAAGGAAAAGTAATTAATTGGTGCATCAGGGTGACATGAGATACTTGACTGTCTCCTATACAAAAATTATTGTAGGCGCTAGAACTACCTATTAGGAATGACATGGCGGGGTTTACCCACACTGTCGTTGGTAATATTTCATCTCACCTAGGTGTGTGGGTATGACAAGACACTAGTTGTTATGATTCAAGCGGGATAAGCGTCTAGCTCTCTAATAATATCGGCCATCGAGCTGGCGTTGCTGTTCCAGCAATTCCGGATTAGCTGGCCAAGAGAAAGATCAGTTGTATCTGGGAATTGTTGAGCTTCGTATAATTCTTCGACCTGGTTGTCCAATCCTTCGAATTCATAATGCGGCGGTCTTCCAGTCAAAAGTTCGTAGATCATACATCCAAATGCAAATACGTCAGTATCTGAACTCACTCGAGGCATGGAGGGCCGATAGCTGAACCATTCGTAGCATGACATCGCCCCTCCACCGTCAACACCACAGCCTTCAAAGTCAATAAGCTTTATACAATCCTGCTTTGTAAGAATCAGATTGTGACTCCCAACGTCACCATGGATGATGCCACAAGAGTGCAGATATTGATAACCTTCTGCTGCTTGTTTCAACCAGCGGATTTTGGTTTCAATCGGTATCTCATTGGTAGAGGGGCCCCTGCAGATACTTCTGAGTGGTGTGCCTCGCTCGAGAACGATAGATCCATCTGTCCGTATTTCCAGCAACTTGGCGATACTGGGATGTGAACCTAATCGCTTATAAACGATATGCTCAGTCTCCCGCCCGTCATCATCGTGATATCTCTTTAGCACCCGTTCTGCATCGATCCCATTAACAACCCCAGATTTTCCAGCCCCAAGGAACGGCATCGTTTCGGGCACGACGGCATCGGGTGGTGTTTCGTATGGAGGTGGGGGTTTTCCGAAGTACCTGGAAGGAAGCTTCCGGATGAGTGTGAATAGGGAGATTATTACGGACGCCATGGAGGAACTGGCTGATGATGTACGCAGAGAGAAAAGCTGTTGATGCCTTGCTTCTACGATACGATTGTAGATGGTCGGAGCGTAGCCGGCCTTAGCCGAGGTAGTCGACGCGAGTGGAGCATGCGAGGACTCTGGCTAGAGTGGTAGTGAGCGTTGTGGACTGTATAGCGTGGTAGGAGATGTCTCGGGACCTGTGCTCCATTGACGGTGAGGTGGGAGCCAACAAGAGCAGCTTCAGGGATAGCCACAGCTTTAGCCAAGTTAAGCCCGTTGCCAAGACCACGGGCCGACTGCTGTTCCGTGCCTCACGCAGCCGTACCTGCATCCCCACTCAGCGATTCAGTGTAGCACCTCTCACACATCATTCACTCTGCCTGATAGCAGGTAGGTTACATCTTTGCAGCATATCTTCGATGAAGGGGCAAACAAGTTTGCGCGACGCACGACGTCAGCTGCGATTGCGACCAGGGTTTCGCCTCGATAACCGCCCCGCCCCATCCACATGCACCCTCATAGAACCGACGGATTTTATCCGGACCATAGTACCAATCACCAAATAGGAGTATTGTGGTGTCTTACAGTCATATACCACCAGTGGTTGGGGATTATGCTCGCTTCTGTCAACAGCTCTGAAGCAACAGCTTTTCAGTGGGGCCGTAGTAAGAATAGCTGTCTTATTTGCGTCGATGATGGTAGTGAAACAGGACCACCGGCGCTGAACCACCTAGTCGGTAACCGGGAAGGATCAACCCCCTGCTGGACGTAGATAAAGTATGCAGACAGATCTAAGAAAAGATTATGGGAGGTATCTGCGGGCTGAACGGGTTCAAATCGCCAGCCTACGTAGCGAAGTTCTTCGCTCCGGCGTCACTTTACTTAGGTAGTAGATTCCAGCGCCGGTGCGAGGGGAGGATCATGGATGAACTTGAGTAGCCATAAGCGAATGGCACAAGAGACGGTTTACGATCATGCATAATAATCTCGACGTTGTACTCCGATATTGTCAGAGCAGGATTCCACGAGATGCCACTTGTACCGTTCGTGAGCGCCACCAAAACGGGTACGGGAGGATGATGCCGCGCTCTAACGCGCGAACCCGGTCCCCACGTCAGCCGCGCCAACTGCCAACGGTTTCCAATCTACAAATCATCATAGGCGCTTAAGTCGCACTAAGCATAGGTGCATGCTGCATGGCGCAGCGCGGCTGATCTGCTCTTGTGCTTATCGCTGCGGGCACCCTTCAGGAGCCAGTATTTGTGGTTCGCAGATGTCAGATCATATATCGGGCTAGTCACGAATCCTTTGGGTCACTCTATGGAAATGATCACCAAATATCATACTGCAGTACGCCTTGTCGCATTCGGACTTATTGCGCTGGTATTCTTGGGGAGACTGCCTTTCATCTGTTTTTGGGACTGACCCTGGTCCAGCTGGGTTTCTGTGGATTATTCACCCACAATCATACCCCCATGATTACCTGGGCTGCTTCAGACGACGTACAAGACCCCATATCTCTGACACCGGGCTTCATCATATCTCGATGCTTACTCTGTTTCGTGGTTCGACCGTCTAGTTTGTCTTTCCATTCTTTTCTTTCCCTCTTGTTTCATTTTGGGTCTGTTGTTGTCTTTCAACAAATTCTTCTCCTTTTTTTGTCTTCCGTTATGAGAATATCAACGGCATTACTATTGATCAGAAAGGTTTCCGCTCATGAGACGGACCATAAAAACAGCATCAAGATAGTATCATGGATTATCCTGACTCTCACGGTGGTTGTCATGATTGCACGACAAAGTATCAAGGCCCTGCTCTTACGTCGAGCTGCGGTCGATGACTTTCTGGTTCTGATATCAACGGTCCGTATCGCAGCCAAGTTCTGTGATTCAAGCTAACACCTGACAGGCATGTGTCATCGGTCTATCGATAATCGCAACCTTGCTCGCCTCTCAAGGTCTTAGTGACAACTCTTTGACCATCGAGCAAACCCACTTCCTTATGAAAGGCTACTACATCTCCAATTTCATGTATATCGCAGCTATTTGTTCCGCTAAGCTTTCCGTACTTGTCATCTTCTACACCATCGTAGAGGTGCAGCGATGGGCGCGTCGGATCGTTATCACAGTCAGTGTCTTCGTTCTCGCATGGAGTATAGCGTCACTGCTAGCTATCGCAATTCAATGCGATATACCTCGGCCATGGATTATGGAGAGTAACCGTTGCTTCAACACGGTAAGCAGAATGGAACTCCCAATGCGCGTATGGGCCGACATCGCTGACGCTGTTAGCAAATCTTTTGGGTCATGTACTGCATAATCGATATGTCTACAGAAGTTTCCATCGTCATGATCTCAGTCAACCTCGTAGCATATATCCAAGTACCCCTTTCACAGAAGGTTGCATTCATAACATGCTTCCTTCCTCGCGTACTTGTACTTGGTGCAGCGCTTATTCGCTTGATTTGGCTTTACCCTACCACACCACAAAGCCTTCCCGAATACCGACTCTGGATTCCCGTAATTATTTCACAAGCTCAGCTATTTCTCAGCATTGCCACTGCAAGCATTCCATACATGGTGCCGTTCTTCAAGAATCTGGATGTCAACCTGCGCACACCTTATCTGGCAACGAAACGAGATCGGCTGGCGAATCATCGCCTTGGCCCCTCAGCATCTTCGCTTTGGTTTCGCAGGAGTAGGAAACCGAAAGACCTTGCTCTTTGGGATCCGGGCGCGGAAACTTCCGCTCAGTACAAACTCGCGCCACAGGCCTCGCCTTGCCTTCCTACTCCTAGGCCTCTGACACCACTTTCGCCTCAAGTGATACCAAGCTTGCCTAACAGCAAATCAAGTGTACGCGGCTTAAACATATACATTCCTCACCGTGATCCTCAGCGACAACGGAGCATAGACCGGGGAAGTCCGCGGACAGAAAGCTCTGGTGTTCTATCTCCAACGTGCACATCATCACAGTCGATGCTCTTACAGTCCTTTATACCGGCCAGGAAAGCACCCTGCCCGCCAAAGAAGGTTCAAAGTCCAGGCTCGGCCACACCCAGCTCTTGCTATTCAAGTTGGGCGCCTACTCCGGTTCCAGTCTTACCCCGGGCAGAACGATTTTCGCTGTTCCCACCTCAGTATCAGCATTACGGCTCCCAACAACCACACCGAACGCCTGTTACATCACCAGTCCCACCATTCCGGCCCGTGAGATCACAGACAGTCTCTGGGGTTGCGAGCAAACCCAATCCTTCAGTCAATGATGCACGGCCCGCACCATCACCTGATCATGCGCGCCCGCCGAAATTTGCCACAACTAGACACCTATATGCGCCGCCACTGAAGATGCCGTCTGAGAAGGAGATAGTAAGACCCGGGTCTATCCAGGACTTGACGTCTCCAATGGGCGCGGCTATCAACAGCTGGTTCAGTAATACAGAAGTGGAACACATTCCCGCTTCACCCATGTGCCCTCCCCTGGCTGTGCACAACAAAACTCCGGGCCACATGCGCTCCCCTGCCCGAGTGAACATCTCACATCATGAGCCTCGTCCACCAGGTGAACTTTTGCAAATGGACCGGGACATTAGATCACAATGTCTACCTACTGTACGCGACGTAAGAAACAGCCCTCATATCGTCAAGCGATCGCCTCAATTGTGATATATCAATATTGTATTAGTATGCAACTCGTTTCGCGCATCTAATCACGTTCATTCGATGTTGTCAGACCCACAAGTATTCCCATGTTAGTTAGCAAGAGCTTCACTTCAGTAAGCTTCACGTCTCTTTGTTCCAAATACTTCTGATGTATACTACCCTGAAGTTTTACGAGTAACGTTTGTATTCTCTTCTTGATACGATTCCATTATCTGTGTGTGTATTATTATTATTATTATTATTCCATTTAAGTCCTTTTTCAGTCAGAGACTATGTAGGACTGGGCCGGAGGCCGTTCTATCTGGTTTTGTTTATCGTACATTTTGGGTATTTGTTCTGTGTGTGTATTGTTATTGTTACTTCTCAAGAATGCAGGCATGAATCATGGGAAGATACTGACGTGTCTTGCATATTTCATGATATCGATAGGGCCAAGTAAACCATGTGTTTTCATCATCTTCTCGCTCTTTACACAACGCTTAGGTGTGATTTCCAATCTCTCTTTTTTGTCACTAAGATAACATTTCCAATACCCACATGCTCATTTGCCAGATCTGCAGGGGGTAACAGTGATCAGCTCGGAGGCTCTATCCGGATTCTGTCTTTACTTTCATTGCTAGAGTAAATCTGGTCTTGTGCGGTTATCCGATGACAACCCCATGGGGCGTAGCGCGACGTTTTCACTTGGGCAAACCGCACGTACCACAATCTTCTGGCAACTGGCTACTTGCGATATATACCCCACCTTCCCTTCTCTTTCCAAGAACTTCCGCGCACATAGAAAGAGAAAGAAAATTGACCCTCAGCCAATACTGATTAGTTAGGATCTCAATACTGCTACTCATTGTCTTCAACGAGTTCCCAAAACCGCCCTTGACATACAGCTCCAAAGAAGTGAAACAGACAACTCCAAAATCATCAGTACAGAACGTTCTCTCATTGAAAAACAAACACGAGTGATACTTCCAAGTCGCCGATTCGCGATTTAGTCGGATTTACCGACGAAAGGGGGCGAATGTCGTGCGCCACCACTGAGGAAGAGCACTACCGACTCCGCTGTTTGGCACTCACCAATCTTGAATCATTTTTCAAGAAAGAGGCCAGTAGTAAAGATCAAACCTTGGGAGAGGTCATGTATGCCATGCGAGGTTTATCTCCAGCAACGGACGAAGACAAAGAACGGGCGTTGAAAGGTAGATTCACGAAGACTACCTTCTATACTAAACGCATTGCTGTCTTAGGACGCTAGACCTGTCGGCCGGGCAAGCCAGTCTCCATGCATTCACTTCTCACCAGTTAGCTCTCCTCTTATAGGACTAGCTCCTTCTGCTTAAGGGCTAGCCTCCTCTAGGCAGCAACCCGCACCATATAGCTAGCACTTCACTGTTCTCAATACAACAACAATTTCGCCCACTCAGTTCCCCGATAAGACCAAAGCTGCATATGCTAAACACGCACGCATAGAAGCTGAGCTGGGGCAAATCTTTTTGCGCTACGGGACGAAAGAGATGTGCGACAATGTTCTCAAGTACCTACCGCAAGAACTCATGAACATGGTGTACTCCCACATCGACGACTTCGAAGAGCCAATTCTAGTCGATTACAAGCAAAGGCCATCTGTTTTCCGACATGCCCGCAGGAGGTTCGTTAACAGAAACTGGAGCCATGAAGTCTCTAACATGCCGTGGTTCCTTGACACGAAGATCGTCACTCTCGATTTCGCGATTGGAATGTTGAAAAATTTGTACAGCAACAAATTCTTCACTTTCGAAAGGCCGTACATCATCAAACACTTCCTTGACAAGAACCTCTCGAATCACATCCATGGCATCGTCCGCAGGGATCATGTACGCCACCTTAACATTGAGATACCTTACCTCGATTACGGCACGAAGCCCTCAAGCTCAGCGCAGCTAGACATTCTCATGGGAGAGCTCGACTGCCTTCGCGAATTCAAGCCTGTAAAAGTCTATATCACATTCAAACTCGCTTCAAAACGGTTATATGACGAGGATATTGGGCGATATACGAATTTCGAAAAGCATTCCCCGATTCTTATGACAGGGCGTCTATTGCCGGTTATGACAGAGCTGAGGGCCAAGGACCATGTGATTACAATCAAGGAATATGATACAATATGGGTCTGGACGCCAACGACAGGCGAGATCAGCTGGAAGACGGCGCAGGACGACCTTGAGAAGCACATGAAGATGTGTTTTCCGGATTGGGTCGGTGCTGTCATGGAGGAGGATTAAATGGGCTTTTTAGAAGCGGGCGATGTTCACATCGTATGCCTGCCTTTATCATGGCGGTTCCTTGTTGATGATATGGCGGATCAAAACAAGGGGCGTTTTTACAGTTGTACAGACATTTGATAGATCTCACTGAACATGTACCATTAGATCACACTCTCACCCGTATAGTGTGTAGGGAAGATGATAACCATGAGAATTAGGACATTATCCATGCGTTCATTCGAAAGATCCCAGGGGCAGCCTTTAAGCCGCTCCTCACCAGCAGCTGCCTGTATAGAAATTAGATATGATACAACCGTGGTCAAGCAGACCTAGTACGTTCCAACATCCACAGTGATAATAGACAGTTCACGTTCCGATCTAAAGTCGCCCATTGACAACATCACGCATCCAACCCAATTTAACTCATATTCATGGCCCAATGCTGCAAGCAAGTACGCGCAAAGCCCTATCATGGATGCGCTAAACGTGAGCTCACTGTCAAAGCCCGGCTGGCGCGACGGCGCGACGGCGCGACAGCTTCTCTGACGCCCATCCGACGTCATACAGCGCATCGCCAATGGCACAACAATAGCAAAGAGGAGCTTATCGTGACTGATTGGGGGGCTGCCGGTTATTGTCGGGGTCCAGCTAGCCTATTGTGATTGTTTGTCGTCAGTCTTGGCGCTCCAATTTCCTCACACGTATAGCTTGCCTGCGACCACAAAATCTGTGCTCCGACATTGACACAAACTCCGAAACACTCTTCCTATAGCTTCCAATACTCTCAACATACATCTCACCATATATACCACCAAAATGGTCGCGATCATTAAGATTTTCGTGATTGCCGCACTCCAGCAGGCCTGCGCGCTTTACGAAAAGCTCTCGCCCGACGACACGAATTCGTCGGTCAGCAACAACAAGACATGCGCCGAGATCTTGAAGCCCTATTACGGCCATACAGTCACTCACTTCAAATCCGGACCTGTTGCCAGCGACGGAAAGGTCACTATGGCTTTGGAGGACGCGCCCACCATCACCGTCGAGATCGCCGAGGGGGCGACACCAGACCGAACGGTAGACATGGATCTGCCTACGGAAGCAGCTGCCGTCAGTGCAGTCGCTTTTCCCAAGGCCGCCGGCCCTCCTTTCATCTACCTGATTGTGGTGGTCACCCAACTGCTCTTCAACATCGCCATCTGTCTGGCTCTCACTGTTGTCCACGTCATCAACAAGCACAAGGTTTCAATTCAATTCAAGACCTTATCACATCGATCAAGATCCTGCAGGCATCTTCAGACAAGGCCTCTACCTCCCTCAACTCTCTCAGGAAAACGAGCTCGGGTGACTCTAAGAGCCTTCAAGGCCTCTCGGATCAAGTCATGTGCCATCGCATGACCAACGAGGTGAGGATAGATGGACTTGAGCGAAAGGAAACCCAAAACAGCGGAGAGATCAAGAAGATTGCGGTTTCTGTCGAAAACCAGACGACGGTCTTGGAGAATCAAGCTGAAACTCTCATGACCCACTCCGAGCGACTGGAAAACAACGTAAAGGCCCTGGCGAACCAAGAAGCGACCCTTGAACTCCATGGGAAAACCATCAAAATCATCGGTACAAACCAAGTCAACTTCCAGGGCGCCTGGTCGAAATTTGAGGACGCGCTCAACATCACGAGGGGCATTCTGAACACCCATGTTGATGAGATACCGGAGCTTCGGAAAGCGCAAGACACGTTCCAGGAACATATCGTCGCCTCTTGTCGCCAAAAGGAGGCAGTCGTCAACACCCGGATGAGGCATCTCGCCGCCGGCCGTCAAGCAGTCATACGCAAGATGGAGGAGAAGAACGCCACGATTCTGTCCCTCTCCGAGGATCTCCAAGAAGAGCGTGCTGATAAAGCGCTCGTTGTTGAGTACCTGCGCGCTCACACTTTCACCAACGCCCAAGCCAATACGGTCTTTCAAGACGCCGTTGTCAAGGCCGCTGATGGGCAGATGGCGCCGCTCCTCATTGGGTACATGATGGCTGTAAACGTCCAGCTTGGTGCCGCTGACGAGGCGACGCGTCGCATGCCGTCCCAGCAGCCAGCCTCCGTGCCCGCCATGTCAAACGGGCCCACGACTGTTCCTATGACTCCTAGGGCTGCCGCTGTCTGTGGCCTTGGCGCTTCAAGGTACGCGATTTCTGGAGCTGCATCGCCTGCCAGCATCCCGCCTCATCTGAGGAAGTAGGTCTTCGACACGGTCTCGGTAGTTCTTGGGGTAATTGGCGTTGCACTAGTTCCACGAGTACGCGGCTTATATGTTGCCCACCCTTCTTAGTTTTGCTTCCTTTCTCTTTTTGTTCTCACACCAGTATTTCGATGCATCAGAGTCTGTCCGCGATGAGATAAAATGATGCCTGATAATAGCACGTCGGGAATGTCGGTCTCCTTTTTTCTTCTTTGTTTTGTTTACGACTTTGGCGCGTTGCCCATCACGATGCCTACTTCAGAAGAGGATGAAGATACAAAAGGGGAAGATGTTTAGAATGTAACGGAATTTTCACATCGAGAACCATTCATGCAATCGACCGATGTGACTTCTGCGATGTGAGGAATGAACGTTCGCGTCAAGTGTATAGAACGCGTACCAACATAAACAATACATTCAACCGCACCACCGTCGCGAAACAGGCCACAAGAGACGCGTGCGCAAAAACGCAGATGAGCGCGTTTCACACGTGCTGAAACCATGGTGGCCGGAAGTCCATCGTCGGAACCACTCGGAACTCATTTCCGAAGACACCTATGGCCCAGGCTCGGAGAGGAAGGCGGGGCGACAACAGCGACGTCATACCCAACCGCGATGCCTTTTCCATGAAGGATTGCTTTCACGATGTAACCTCGAATCTTGGTCGCAGCTGCTATGCAGCATGTGAAGCGATGCAGATGCGGGGTAAGCTATATCAGGATGAGCGAAGAGTGGGGGAGAAAGGATTCAGAGGCCATGCATTGCGACTTGAGCTCCTTCACCCTCTGCCAGTATGTTTGTGACACGAGCGATAGAGCTGATGGTGATTGCACGGTGCGCTTTTGCGCAAGATGTGGATTACGCACGTTTTGTGAACCCTTTTATTGGGTCTGAGGGCGCGATACCTGGATATGCGTGTATGGCTATTCCGCTTCTCTATCTGGGTTTGCTGACCACATACAGATGGCGGCGGCGATGTCTTTGTCGGCGGCGCTGTACCTTTTGGTATGGTAAAGCTAGGCATTGATACATTTGAAGAGCCCGTCAATCAGAGCGCATTAAACGGCGGGTATACACCCAAAGGACATGTAACGGGAATCAGCTTTATGCATCAATCTGGAACGGGAGGAGGACCAAAGTAAGTCATATCGAAGAATCACAACAATCTCGACTTCAGATGATGAATTATCTAGATATGGGTTTCCGGCGCAGATGCCCCTGACTGCTATCGACGGCGATGTTAATCTGCTAGATAACCGGACGTACTGGCAGGATCGAGTAAGATTCCTGATTACGATGAATGTGCAGGATTTGATGTGATTTTAGGTTGGTGACGACATTGCAACAGTTGGATACTTTCGTACGAAGCTGGAATCAGGCGTCCAAGTCGAACTCTCAGCATCACGACACGCAGGATTGCACCACTACACCTATCCTTCTACATCTGGAAAACACGTGCTTGTAGATTTCTCGCACTACCTACCGCATCCGACACGATCATGGGACTCACAGTTCTACACTGGTGGCGAGATTGATATTCAGCCCGACTCTAGCACCTACACTGGCTACACTTCGATCGCGGGCGGTTGGAACATTGGCGCACCGGTTACCGTGTACGTGTGCGGAGAGTTTGACAGCCCACCCAATGACGCGAAGGCTTTCAAGGGCAGGAACACTTTCCCCGTCAGTCGGCACTTCAGGACATATGATAATGGTACAACGCCATGGCCTACATTTACGGGCTCGACTGCGCGATCGGGGCCAATGAACGACCGCGTTGGTGCTGTCTTCACCTGGAACAACGTCACGGAGGTCAAATCACGCGTCGGTATATCGTTTATGTCTGTAGACAAGGCCTGCGCGTACAAGAATTCGGAGCTTTCATCATGGTCCATCGAGAAAGCCACACAAGCCGCGCGGGACGAATGGAACCGCGACGTCTTCTCCAAGATCCGTGTCGATACGTCAGAATCTGCCAATAAGACCAGGCTAGCTCTTCTATACTCAAGCTTGTACTTTATGCATCTCATCCCTAGCGAGCGCGTAGGCGAGAACCCACTCTGGGAGTCAGATGAGCCGTACTGGGATGACTTTTACACTATGTGGGATCTCTTCCGCAATCAGGTTTCACTGTGGCATCTTATCCAACCTAGCTACTACGAGTCGATGATCCGGTCTTTGATTGACATGTTCAAGCATGAAGGATATATGCCCGATGGACGATCGGGTAACTACAATGGATTGGTGCAAGGAGGCTCAAATGCAGACAATGTACTCGCAGATGCCTATGTTAAGGGATTGACTGGTATGATCAATTGGACAGAGGGATATGCGGCGGTCAAGAAAGACGCTGACGTGCTCCCGTTCTTTGACCAGAACCCAGTAGACCCTCAGGGCTCGCTGAAAGAGGGACGTTCAGCGCTCGACGACTGGATACCACTTGGCTACGTTTCCGCAGACCGGAATACACGGGCTGTGTCAAAGACCGTAGAGTACTCCCTCAATGACTTTGCGGTGAGTCAGATCGCGGCTGGTGAAGCACCGGGCGACCGCGATCTATATCTCCGTCGCTCGGCAGGCTGGCAGTTGAGTTGGGACCCTGAAGCTTTCAGTCGAAACTTCACCGGTTTCGTTATGCCACGATACGCCAACGGGACATTCCATAAGACTTATAATATCACAAATTGCGGTGAATGCAATTGGGGAGACGAAAGCTATGAAGGAACTGCTTTTGGTTAGCAGGCCGTTCCATCTGCGTTATACATACTAACATTGTCACAGAGTACTCCTTCGTTATACCTCACGACATATCCCGTGTGATAACCCTAATGGGCGGCCCCGCACACTTTGAAACGCGCCTCGACTACATTTTTCAGCCGAACACCTCCGGCGTTGATCTCGGAGTCAACGGTCTGGGCATCACGACCATTAACAACGTAGCCAACGAGCCGGACTTCCAGACCCCGTACTTCTACAACTATCTCAACAAGCAGTGGAAAAGCGTTGAACGATCCCGTCAACTTGCCACCGACTTTTACTTCAACACTACCAATGGGATACCAGGAAACAGCGATGCAGGTGCGTTGAACTGTTGGTTGGTGTGGCAAATGCTAGGTCTATACCCTGTTGTCACGACGCCTGTCTATCTCCTCGAAAGTCCGTGGTTTGACGACATCAATATGACGGTCAACCACGATAAGACACTCAGAATCCGCGCCGAGGGTCTAGATGACGGAGACGGCAGACAGGGCTACTACGTACAGAGCGTGCGCATCAACGGCATCGAATGGGACCGAAATTGGTTTAAGCACGAAGACGCGGATGGTATCATGACCCGCGGTGGAGAGATCTTATTCAGGCTCGGACCAAAGCGTTTGCTATGGGAGACGGGCGATGTACCACCGAGTCCTGGACATCAGGTTGTAGATGTAGGACAAGGCGCGCAGCTGTAAGATATCGACATACAAATGTCGTTCCATTCTGCAGCGGGGAATATCGTAGTAATAAATGTTCCTGACGAACACCTCGTACGTACCCTAACCACGCACCCACCTCTCCTTCACACACACCGACTTGTATCCACCAAACCCCCGTCACCACACTTCAAACATGTCAAACCCAGCCATCTAGCCGCATTTTCTCGTATCGCATCTAGATTCTTCACGATCGCCTTCCCGATCCAGCAAGTCTGCCAAGCTGTCACACAAACCTGACACATCTGACGCTTGGATCACGTGCGCGACGCGAGACATCGAGGCTGAAACATGCATCCTGAAACCCATTCTTGCGACATCTCCACCTCCCCTACGAGCGATGTGATTCGTCGAACCACCAGTTCTAACAAGCAAGGCATTGCCGATGTCGTGCATGCGGCTTAGATGGGTGTTATTATAGCAACGGCAGTGGAGAAGAGCAGGAAGGCATTGGGTGGATAAACGGTGGCAGAAGGGCCGATCACACAGCTTTCGCTACAGAACGGTTGATGGAAGGAGTGTGGAAAGAGTCTGAGACTTCAGGCGCTGGGAAGGGCTGGGAAGCGCAAGGCTGGGTGGTGTGCTAGAGTTTGAGCAGGATATGGGCTGTGTGATGAGGGGTGAATGAGGATATAAGGCTACCTGAGGACGCCCTTTGTTACAAGGCCAGCATCAACAACTCATCCCAGCTTCTCTCCACTACACTTTTTTCATTGCGTCTGCGACTGCAAAATCTGACCCGGTGTCATTCATTAAACGTATATCTTATTTTTTTCAACCACACTCACTACCAATAACCACCACCACTACCACCACCAACAACAACAACCAACAACCAATCAACATGCGTTTCACCATCGCCTCCATCATTGCCCGTAAGTCTACTAGGTTCAGGCACTGCAGCCAGCCTCACCTCACAGTCTTGCTTCAATACTAACATACGAAAAGTTGCCGCCGTCTCCATGGCGCAAGTCACCCCCAACAACGCCGGCGCTAAGAACGTCGGTGCGGGCAACGGCGCCCAATTTATCACCGGCGGATGCGTCTCAGACGCCGACTGCAGCTCCGCCTGCTGCGCCCAGGTCGAGAGCAGCGGCGCGGGTGTATGCAGTGGAGTCGCAGCCGCGCTCCAGAACGGAAAGACTGGATGTGGATTCTCGGACCCCAACGCTGATGCTGTCATCGCAGCCGCACAGGCCCAGGTTGAGAAGCAGGGCTTCAAGAGGGAGGTCCGTCTCGAGTAGAGGCTTGCTGTCGTAGCGTAGCACGACGATATATACCCACCATGAAAATAACAAGACCTTTATCGAGTATTTTGTACCCTTCTCTTACTGTGTGATTTGTGATTTTTAATCTTTCAGGGCTTTTGTGCTTTGCGACCGAAGGCTATCCAGAGCCTGCTCACCCAGAGAGCTAGAATAAGCTCGCGGCAGGTCTGGTCCAAACCGGGCCGAAGCTCAATCGTCGGCATTTTACCTCCGTGGCACATCTTCATAACCTCGGTCGCGATGACATTGCCGTCGGTATCTTTCCATAAACTAGGCTCCATCTCATTCTTCCTTTGCTTGATGGTTTGTTTCAAGCTGCCGTTCTTCCCGCATGTCATGAGCGCAATCGGTCGCCTGTTGTGAATCGGGATGTGGGCGACGTGCCAGTGACGGATACCAAACGACATGTGGAGAACTCCAGGGGGCGTGGATCGGTGTTGGCCTACGATATAGTAGTCGTTGTTGAGAAAGGGAGGATCTTGTGCCTCGTAGAGGACCGAGCTATGGTCGAAGGGAATATGGTGCGTGCCAGATTGTAGAAGGGTTACTTCTTCGGCGCGTAACCTCCTTAGCTTCAGTATATCGATTTGAGAATCAAGGAACGATGAGAGCTGATAGGCGGGAGCATTCGGGGTATGTATCATGGTTCCGTAGATGGTGAAGGTTGTGGCTTTCTCGTCGACAACAGCGTACGCTGGGGGTAGTTCGGATGGTGACGAAGACGATAGTATGCAAGAATTTGCCGAGTCCCTTCTCTCCCATACTACGGGAAACTGGAAGTCTTGTGAGGATTCTGATGAATGTAGCGATCTGGTAGCAGAAGGAGCCGCCTGAACAGCTTCCTCATATGAAGGAATTTGAGCGTCGATGTTTGCTCGAGACATGACGTCAGTGAATTGCTGTGTGGTTGCGGTTATGTGAGAGTTGCTTAGTGATTACAGAAACTTCAAGGAGGCCGCTGAGAGGTATATCAATTGCCAAACATCGCCAAGGATGATGTATTCTCCGCACTCCGCACTGAGAAGATACGAGAATTCACGAATGGAAAGGCCGACGTGACGTAGTCTGGCGATCAAACGTCTGCAGGGTCCACGGTGCCAAGCCCGTGTCCACGTATCTCACCCCGCGTCACATGACTCAACCACTCCCTAGCCCACTCATACTTTTAACGGGCATACCACGCCATATCGCAAAATTTTGAAGAATCTTTGAAACAAAATTTTTTGACCACACCTTCTTGAGTATCGTCTACGCGGATGCGGTCAGTTGCTCACGCTCCGCAACCTTGGAAGTAAACGGTTTTCATGCACGATCCACCTACCCATGCGATATTCAACGCTACATCGTATTGCGCGAAGATCTTGCTCCATCTAGTCACGGGTCCGCGTTTACTTATGTTACAGTGAGCTGCGACGTGTTGATCTCCCGTGTCTCTCGAACAATGGCTTGAATGGCTTGTCAGGTCCGGCAGGTGAAGAATTCCTACCAATACGACTTGACATAACCAGCCGCATCCTCAAATCACCAGCGCTGCACAAATCGCTCCTTTCCTTCACATGGCTCAAATACGAGATAAGTACATGTATCTGTCCTAAATTTTTCTTTCTCTCCCTTGAGTAGATATCCTATTGAGCCCATTGTGTGCGGTTTGCCACTGGCAGTCAAAGTTGATCACATCAGCTACGAACATTATCGTCTCTTGCATCGTACTCACTCGGATACCCGTTCACAGTTGAACTGTATTGTCCATATCTCTCTCTCCATTAGAACATATCACGTCTTCGTAACCCCATACCAGCTGATAAACGTTGTGTCATGTGCGCTATTGGCCTCACGAAAGCCGAAATTGCAACATGAATCATGTAATGATTACTTATGAGATATCGAGAAGTCATAGGACTGTGTTTCAGTTTAAGGTTGAGTCGGGGTTGGAGCGTTGTAAGCCGGCTCCTTGCGGGAGGCCGTTCCACGACGTCTTGGGCTTGAAAGCGGGATATGCGGATTTGGTTCGGCCGAGGTTGAATGTAAGTTTATGATGGTTCAATGGCCATGACCGGTGTGTAGAAGGCCGTACTACGGAACCAAGGCCGCGCATTGTAAGTTGATACGTACAAGAAGGGGAGGTCTTGCTTAGGATTAGAGTTGTTAAAAGTCTCATCTTGTTGAACATATTGCTCCATTGCTAGCTGTCCATGCGAATCATGAGTCGCGTTTCCCACTTCGTTGCTAGCCCCTAATCTCACAAACTTCCAAGGCTGCCAATAGTAAGCGCACTATTGATTATGAAGGCCAGCCCGCTTCCCCTCACCGCTACCACGCATCACGTCGAGAAACTTCGAATTGCGACATCTTCCTTTTCCACTGAACAAAGCGCACACCCGGAGAAACGGGATACCAGAAACGCCTCTCGGTAATTATGTCGTTTCGTAGTGTCCAGGTGTGGTTTAGTTCATGCAGGTACTCCCATGCAGCACGTGCTGACTTAGCGGCTCCGGCTGTGGCTGCATTAGCTGGCGTGCGACGACGCGCTCCTCCTCCGTACTCTTCTCTCGACGTGACATCACGATACATACAGACAGCATGAGCATTACGGAAGTCCGTGAATCTATATTGCCTCATCATTAATGCTTTCTCGTCGTAGTTACATGACGTCGTGGGTTCGTGTTAGACTTTGTCGCCCGCGAACACGTCGCGCTTCCTGTCCCGTTTGCGTGCCCATGCCGGACGTTACATTGAGCTTTTCATCCAGGGTTTTGCAGATGTTGAAGCCTGTGTGCCGCAGCATAAAATAGGGTTGTAACGACAATTTTCGAGGACAAGGACGTGCGCAAAGACGACAACTAGGAACAGTCACGTGACTAGCGGTGAGTTGCGTAGCATCGAGTCTCCGAGCATCTGACAAAGAGGACAGTCCTGAGTGCGGGGTGTTCACTTCAACTTCTTTGGCGACAGCAGTGTTTACACGTTGATTTCTATGCCATTCTGACTTCTTCTGCCTTTGAGTGCATATCATCACCACCCGACCCGACTGCGCTTTCGATACCAAGGGATGGCCTTCACAAGATACTATGATAACAACCGGTGTATTTTGTGATACTCATTCGATCTGCGGCTCTTTGCACCCGATGAGTCTGCGGCTTGCTCTGTCAGTCGTCGCGCATCGACTCCGGTGAATGCTTGTAGAGCTATCCATCAATGCTTCAAGGAAGTCGGAAGAACTCTGTGTTTTTTGAAAATACAAGACACTACAGCTCTGGCTTTTCTTTTGCAGACTTTCAACTGCCTTCTCCATGTGTCCTGATGTTTCTATGTTATACTACGTCACGTGATACAACATTCACTCTTCGCAACCTGCTTCTTGTATCTCAGGCCCGACTCATGCCTTCTATCTTTGTATGCAATGGAATATACTTGACGGATTCTGTATGCTTGTTGCAAGTTCTCTAATCTCTCCTAAAGGTCGAAAAGCGCCATTGGCATTCGCTATTGCGTGTTCAGGTAGAGAGACGCTATGTAGCCTCACCACAGAGAGAGACAAAGAATGCATAAAATCAATGGAGGAACACTCACGAGCTCAGACGTTGTGAAGTGAAACATCAACATTGTTTGCGACGCTGTACTCCTACATTGTTCTGCTGCTCTACTATAGTTATACGCAACTCTTGATCTTCTCATTAAAAGTGTCAACTCCGCTTCTTGTCTCGACCCATTTCATCATTAAAATGGTATACCAAGGCGCTTCAATTGCTTCGAACATGTCATCGCAGCGTGTGTCATTTCAGCGCGATAGCAACGGAGCTCCCCCGATTGAACTTCAGCCTACCGGTGTCCCAGCGGACCACTCCGACCGGAACCACCCTCATTTCCCCACTGATGCAGAAGCTCAACTCCCACCGCGTCCTTCCTACGCAACGCGCTCTTGTTTGACCAAGAGGTTTCTTTGGATCATGTTCGGCTCAGTTTTCGCATTGAACTGTCTCATCGGCGCTGCCTTCCTCGGCATCAAGCTGGGGACTGACAAAGCAATCGCGGACAATCAGAAGTCTGAAGGCAGAGTCATATACGTGATCACCACCATGGTTTCTACGATCAGCATGACCCAGGTCATTCCAACTCCTACGATTTCCACTGTGACGCAGTCACTGAGCATCATCGGCACTGACCTCTTCCCGACGCCTACGCCTTCTAAAAGCCCCTGTACTAGTTACGGAAGCTGGCCGACGCTGGCGGAATGCAAGGGGAATTGTGGTGTTCCGGGCAATATGACAGCTTGTGGTGTGTGGTCTGGCGGTTTCACCTGTGTAGTGTGTCCACTGACGCAGGCAAAGGCTAGCTATTATCTTCCTCACAACTGAGCATCTACAAGTCTGGAGGCCCACAGTAGAGTGGGTATCCTAGTAGATGGTGGCGGCAACTCGCTGGACGAGTTGTCTTCGTGTAGTATGAAATCACATCTTCTTTCGCTAAACTTGTTACTCTTGCTTCTTGAATCTGTGCATTAACTTATGTATTGTGATTACTATCCTGGAAATGCCGTAAATAAAAATCCGCTAGTAGTCCTCATTTTCCTGTAAATAAGACTCCGCTAGTAAGGGTGCGTCCCTAAGTGCAGAGACACACTATGTCGCGAGACAGATTCACACTACGGACATCCGGAAATGCTCCTTCTTAATCCTGTCGAGATGTAAATGACACCTAAGGTGCGTCCCTAGGTAAAGAGACACACTATGTCGCGAGACAGGTTCACGGTTCGGACACCCGGAGATGCTTCTTCTCAGACTTGTCGAGACATAGTGAACACATAATAGTTCTCTAATTACTATTCTTTAGGTCGACCTACCTCCGAGACAGATCGCTGTAGTGTTGGTCAGGTTATTCGCCGTTTTGTCAACGTTGTTAATCGACTCTCCGGCGACTACCCCTTGTTCGTTCATAGGGTTAACTACTTCTGAAGCATCTGGAGAGTTAGGCAGCAAGCGCGATAAAGCAAGATAGCATCTTGACGGTTTGAGAGCTTTTCAATATAGTAGTGTGCATGCCGGGAGCCCCGTAGTGCGAAGCAGGAGATCTGTGAAAACGAGCCCGAGCTGGCGGGATGCGCTAGTGTCTCTTAGTATGCATGGGCCTGTATTAGCGCGCTTGTCGCCCACTGTATTCTATTGTAATAAATTCAGCGCTATGCCCGCCCTGTAGCATCTTGAAATAGATGTGGCCCGCGCTGCTGCCTTTCTAGAAGCATCTAGAAAGACGTCCATACTCCTAGAGATACATGAACAAAGCTACTCAGGCGTTGACACAAGATTATCCTCCTAATGTTGATGCGCACCTGCATCGAGCAGCATCTTGACTACCTGCTCGTGGCCTTTGTATGAAGCTGCCTGCAGTGCGTTATCGTACAATACACCCCGCGCATTGACCTCGGCGCCCGCGTCGAGAAGCATCTTGACTACCTGCTCGTGGCCTCCAGCTGAAGCTTCGTACAGTGCGTCGCCGTCCAACCCACCCTGCGCGTTGACGTCGGCGCCCGCGTTGAGAAGCATCTTGACTACCTGCTCGTGGCCTCCAGCTGAAGCTTCGTACAATGCGTCGCCGTCCAACCTACCCTGCGCGTTGACGTCGGCGCCCTGGTCGAGCAGCGTCTTGACTACCTGCTCGTGGCCTTTGTATGAAGCTGCCTGCAGTGCGTTGCCGTAGCGTCCACCCTGCGCGTTGACGTCGGCACCCGCGTCAAGCAGCAGTCTCGTAACAGTACTAAAGCCTAGTAATGCTGCGTAGTAAAGCGGCATAGGTATGCCATCGAGACCTTTTTCCAAATTTGGCATCTCCTAAGAACGGTCTGGATCATGCAACCGGAGCCAGTTAAGATATGCAGGCTCTTCAATAGCCATCAAACTCATCGCTAGATGACTCGTCTTTTCCATCTCGTCTCTTGTCTTTCGAAGATGGCTGCTCCAGAACTCTGCAGAGTACCTTGCAAGTGCGAACGTCTTAAGAGTCTCTTTTAATAGTGGTTGCTGAAGCTGGATTAGGTACTTTAGAGAGCCTCTCGTTATTACATCGTAGCATTTAGCCTCTTGCATGCTGTACTGCTTTGCTGACCCTTGCTTAATCCTGTCTAACACAAGGTACTCCTGCACTGAATAGTGTGTTAGAGCGATGATCTGTTGGGCAGGCCTTAATCTCCCGTCCGCTTCGTTCTTCGTGATAGTGACTAGACTAGAGCAGATGCTCAGCGCTTCTAGCGGGTCTTCTAACACCTCATCACGATCGAACGCTAGGTCGCGCGCCACGTCAATGGCGACGACTTCGGCGATCTCTTCGACGGACAGCGGCCGCGCAGAGAACGTCAGCCATTGCAGAATGCGTAACGCATACTTAGAATATCCGTCGTTTATCGCGGACAGAATGCGCTCGTATGTCTGGTCTAGCGTTTGCGGCAAAGTAGCAAGTGACTCGCGCAGCATTGCCTAATTGAGACACTTTACTAACGTGTTAAGCTAGCATACAACCCATCGAAACCTACTATATAGTTAGCTTTAGTTTTGCAAAGAATCGAGTAAACACATACATCCTATGAGCACCACGTATTATTGCAGTCTTAATTTCTTGCCTAATAGCAGCGTCTTTGTTCTATTTTGCTAAGCCCTTATTAATACATAGCCTTTGTTGAACGTATCGTTGTATATCCTAATCCACTACGTCCCTTTAAAGACAGACAGCGTCCTCTTCCCCAACGTAACTCTCTAAGGATGTCTCGATATCCCGCTCTTTTCGGCTAGTTATAAGCAGATGTAGGTTATCAAGCTGCCACTCAACCACTATCTTAAGCATATCTATTAGCTCCGAGCGCTGCGTACACTTATTAAGAGCATCGAGAACAACGTATACGTGGGTGAACTCTTGCGCCGTTTCCCTAATTACTTGTAAAAGCGCATGTAGTGAAGGCTGTCGTTTTCCGTCTTCGCAAGATAAGAATAACGCGTCAACGCCTTTCAGTATCACGACCGACCGCTGCACGAGCTAGTAGAGCAACGAGTGGAGCATTAGCTCTAGGTCCTGTTTTTGTGTATCGTTGAAGTCAAAGTAGAAGTATGCCGTCACTATACTAGTGTTATTATGGCAGTGCTGCAGCAGATGCTTAATAATAGTAGAGCTTAGGATAGTCTTTCCACATCCTAGGATCTTATACAGCCACAGTCGCGACGCTGCACTCTCTTTCTATCTCGTGAACTGCTCACCCTCTAGTAACCAGACTCCGGTCTTAGCCTACCGCTGCTTATGCGCTTTGTGGTAGTTGGTAGACGGGTTAGGCGCCGAAAGCCAGCTGCGTATCTTGCTAAGCTTCTCTTCTTGGTCTTGACTGCGGCCCTTATATTTTAGAATAACCGCGCTTCTTAGCTATTTAAGCGCGTTCTCTTTACCTTCGCTATAGATTAGCGGTAGGTGGACGCCGAATATGCCGAAGAGACAATACGCTCTATCTTCTTCCTCTGTTGTCTGTCAATTCGCGGCCTAAGAGAAACGCTTCGCAACGTCGAACTCAGACAAGTCACTCCCTAACAGAGCTTTAATAGTGTCAGATATAATGAGATATTGCACAAAAGTGATGGATGTTGATGATTGTGTGTATTGTGTTCTGTCTATCGTGTGTCCGCGCTTGTGGCCCTCTTGAGGGGCGCACTGCCCCTCTCTACGCTGATTGGTTGCTGCCAACGTCGAGTAACCCTGCTATCTGACAAATAGGTATGCCTGTAACCTCGTGTATAAGGTGCTAAAGCGACTCCTTGTCCCCTAGCCGCTCTCCCTCTTTAGAGAAGAACTTAACAGAGTAAGGAGCAAGAAGCTCTTAAAGCGTCTAGCCCCGCCTAAACCACCTGCTCTGCTTAAACGCCGACTTACTATTAGTATTTAAAGTGTCGTTCGCGACGTCTGAAAGGAAGACATAACACCTTTTAGCATTCTAGTACTATTAGAACATAGAGTTGATCGCTCGTGACAGTTCTGTGTTGTTTGCCTTGTCAATGCAGCAGGTGTTAACCTAGAAGTAGTCTAGATTATCCCGTTTAGCCTGTTGCGCATAGAAGCGAATCTTCTGATATCCCTCCTTGCGTTGTGTGTCAACGTCTACTGCATTATCTAGATCTTTCAGATCGGCAAATGTCACCTCC